CTTGATTCCATGCCGCAGTGTTGATCTTAGTTGGTTAGCTTCCTGAGCCTCTGTTACAGAAGAATCTTTGTTATTTCTCATGCGAGATCAGATTCTAATTCTTCCTTGTCTCTGCCTCACAGGAATCCTGTCTCTTCGTGAAAGCTCTGGACGAGCTTAACCACCTGTCTCCTCGTAAAAGCTCTGGATGAGCTTAACCACCTGTCTCCTCGTGAAGCTTTAGAAGAACTGTCTCTCTGGCAACCTGTCTCTGGCCTGCAGCTCTGGGAGAGTTGCATCACAGGGAACCAGTTTCAAACCTAAAGCTCTAGGAGAGCTAGCCAGCTAATCAGCCCTGGTGAGCCACCCGAAGACCCCTACGTGGTTTAACCTGAAGACTTCTTCGTGGAGTTCCCTAGAGGTTCCCATGTGGATTATCTCCTGTTTTTCTCAGTCATCCAGCCATCCCCCGCTCCCTGCACAGACTCCAGTGAACCAGCCCCAGACCCATTCTAGTCCCAGTGTTTTTCTGTGTGTATTTGGACTTTATTAAACATTTTGAACTTTTCCCCTGCCTCCTCCGTGTGTGTTCTGCATCTTGGGCTTAACACTAAGAAAACCCATCATGACATTTTGTATAATTTCTAATTATTACTGAAAGGTAAAGACATGTTCCTGATAAATACTTTCTGACAGTTAATTTATGCCTGAAATGATACAACAGAATAAATCAAGAATAGATCAAGAAATCAAGAAAAAAATCCAGTTTAACGTCTGCCATGCCGTCTTTTGGTGCGTATGTAAAAAACAAACAAACGATCTTCCCCAGTTTTAACAATATTTCATGTGCCAGTATTTCATTATTTTTGGTAAAAAAAAATTTTTTTTCCTCTTTTGTAAAGTGTTTCATTAGATGCAGGTAATGCAGAGATGTTGATTTTTTATCAAGAAAAACGTGCCCCCCCTCCTTAAAATAGGTTTAGTCCTAAAAGACAGACTTTACAAGAAGCATAATATGATATAGCTTTTGTTTGTTCACAGTTTAAAGCTTTGAATATATAGTTTATTTTATTTAAATTAGGGTAAAGATAGGTGGAAAGGCTGTTGAAACTACAAAGTAAATGTTAAATCAATGTTACACTACAAGTGTTGGCTAAATATTGATGTTCTCTGTGTTAGAATATAATAAGCGGACAGATCTATACAATGACAATAAACTGTGTATTTCCGTTTAATGAGCCAAACCGAAATAAACAATTTTCAAATTAATTCCAAGGAATCAATGGTGTTTATTAGCACTCGTATTGGTACTATAAATTAAGTACTTGTATTCGTAATCAGTTTGAAAAAAATCTGGTATCAGTGCATCCTTAGTTTGGATAACTAAACACTTATTTGAACAGAAAATTCAAATAACTCACACAAAGAGAAAAGACAATTAGGAGAAATTTATAGATAAAATTACTTTGCCTTTGGTGTCGGACCTCGGCAGGAAACATAGCACTTAATTTTGATATATATGCATGAACAGGAGCAACAAATAGGGCTATTTCCCCCCCCAGGCCTGAAACTGGTGGTGGAGTGGAGATGGATGAAGTTGGTCAGTCTGTAGACTGCTGGTTAGCGAGATGGTATGCTGAGCTTTATGGGGAGAGCCAGTGAATTGCGTCAGCTGATACTAGAGATTCACTCAGGGACCTGGAAGATGGAAGTCCAGTGGGATAACACATGTTGACAGAACCTGTCCATGATGAGCAAGCATGAAGCGACAGTGGAGAGGAAGAACCTCTGGCAGAACCAGGCTCAACATGGCGGTCTTCTGCCGGACCGGTTAAGATGAGAGAGGGAATGCAGTAAGAGGAATGACACTCTGATGAAGCTTTAGCTAGAAAGGTGGAGGAGGGGCTGGAGGTGGGTTGAAACGGTGTCATCTAAATGAAGTCACAGCGCATCAGCCACCTGCGCACAGGAGCAAACAGGTGCGTATCGGAGGCCTTTTAAGATGAGCTTCTGATACCGATTGGCTTTCGTGGAGGTGTGGTTCAAAGATGATTGGCTGTTTCACAGGTGGATGTATGAAAAAGTTTTCGGTTGAATTTCCTCCTAGGCCTTGTAGTCTGCTTGAGCTGACTCCAAGTGGACAGTACAAGTACTGCTTAGTCCTAGTGAACAATTTTTCTAAATGGGTAGAAATTGTTTCCACAAAACATGCCATTGCACTAACAGTAGCAAAAGCGTTGTGTAAACATATCATAACTGAGCATGGTATCCAAAAAATCTTACAAAGTGATAATGGAACACATTTTGTGAATGAAGTGGTATCACTAATGTCTAAACATTTAAACATAACTTTGAAACATCACTGTTCCTACCATCCACAGAGTGCAGGACTAGTGGAGAGATTTAATGGAGAAACTAAAAATAGATTGAGAAAATTCATGGCAGAAACAGGAGGGCCATGGACAGGGTGTTTGCAGTTGGTGGAATTGCTCATGAGGATTGTTCCAACATCTGATGGTTTGGCCTCTTTTGAAATAGTGAATGGGAGACCTTTTTTTGTTCTACTTTTATGGGAAGGACAGCCATGGGCTAAAAAAGAAAAAGAACATTGACCCATTAACTAAGTGAATTCTGAAACTGTTCAAATACGGAACTGTTCAAAGAACATGTAATCTGCCCAGAGCTCCTATTTGTTTCCCCACAGGGAAGGCCTGAAGCCTGGAGACCGAGAGCTGATTAAAATCATCCAAGGGAAGATTTGGGAAGCTCCGAGGTGGGACGGACCCTACATAGTGCAACTAACAACCCCCACCACTGTGAAGATCCAGGAGAGTAACACTTGGATCCACAAGAGTCATTGTAAACTGATTAAAAAATTTTCCTCAGCAAAAAAGCCCAGTTACTTTCACAGGGACCCCACGACTAAGGTATAGATCTGTGGTGAAGTCCAGCTTCAAAGGGGTTTGGTTTTTTTAGGACCAATCGTCTCAACGCTGGTGAAGAAACCAACCTAACCCAGTCTTTTAGAGTCCGGTTAGTGGGTGTTTCCTTGGACGGACTGGCGAAGATCTGAAAAACCAAAGTGGTTTTGCTGCCCAGTGATGACTGTTGGACCGGTGTTCCTAGGAACTCAAACTGACTGTCTGAAACAAAGGAAGAGCAGGATGATTTTTGATGGATCCACAGCAAGTCATCCTACAGTGCCAAAATGTGGTGGCAGCATTCCAAGCGCGTTGCTGAAGATTTGAACAAAACAGACTGTTATGTTTGTACTCATATTCCTACTCCTACGAATACAATATGAATTGAAATATGCTGATGTTTTTATGTATAAGAGAAGGGAAATGTTAGAGTGATAATTATAAAATTATTGTGTGGACATATGAAACATTGAAAGAAAGAAGATGCTACATTTCTTTCCTGTGATTCAACCAGAAGGGTCATAAACTTTTATGACCTCCAGTAGGTCATGAGGTAGAATCACACGGTTGTGTGACTTTGGTCTTCTGCTAAGGCCCGCCCTATGATGTTGTAAACTGTTAATAAAGGCTTTGCTATGAAGGGATCTGTGTGAGAAGGTGCTGGTTTCTGAGCCAACACCTTTTCTCCGCTTCTGCAGAGGCTGACGTCAAAAACCCTGTCTCTGTGTTGATTATTTCCTCGTAATCTTTTAAACTCACATTCCTCTGGATTAAAACCCAACAATTAGCGGTTATCAATCCCATTGAATGGCTTCAGACTGTGCCTCCTCTACCTTCTAGTAGGTTTCTTATGGCTGATAGCATGATAGCATGCAGTTTAACGTTGATAACAGAACTTCAAAAAACTTTTTTAAAGCTCTAATTGGAATGAATTCCAAATGCTTCAGTAATACTGATTCAATTGGGTGTTTATAAAGAACTCAATTCACAAGATATGAGATTGTTTTGTGTTTAAAATGAGCAACATGTGGATCTTTTTTTTAGTTTACAATAAATGAAGAGCTACAAAAAGTATGTTCTAAATATACAAAAATATATTAATTCCACAGGCCAAAAAAGAATTACCTCAGAGTGAGGATTAATTCGATTATAACAACCTACTGGGCCTAAGGAGGAGGTAAGAAGCACAATCTGAAGCCATTCTATTCGACTGATAACCCCTAACAATGGCTATTTAATTGGATGATAACATCCGAGGTAGCTTACTGGAAGACCTATGATCATTCAGACCAACTTCAGACCTAACTCTGTTGTCAAAATTGGATCTTTTAAATACACTTCAAACTACCAGCTCTTAAAATGACAGAGGTACAAAATAATCTGCTCACTTACAGGGTGGTTTCAACGTTACTTCCTTATTTTTTTAGGACCGTTTTTTAAATATTTACTAACCTTGTGGGGACCAAAGGTAGGGCTTAATGTGACAGACCCCCTTTTTTAATGTTAGGGAGTCAGTTTAGAGGTATTCTGTGAATTAACTTTAGGTTAAGGCTAGGGTTAGGAATATACTGGTAGCGGTTAGGATTGGTTGAAAATGTCAGGGTAAGGTTTATATACGCAGTAACTAAAACCAATGTGAAGTCCTCCTATTATGGGAAGAAATATAGATTTGTGCGTGCAATTCATACACTGATAGCAGGTTTCGGTGACTTGGTGCTCTGGTGGAGACTAATGCCTGGTCCCTGAGGATACAATTGGTGTTTTAGGGTTTGGTGTTATGTTAAGAACAAAGGTGAGAATTGGTTTAGGTTACTGTTTGGTATGAATCGGTAATGGTTAGGTTTCGGGAAAGGATCCCGTTAGGCTGTAGACATGGATTAGAAATTAACAGAAGTCAATTGAGAATCCCCGAAAAAGACAGAGAAATATGATTGTGTGTGTGGGTTTAGGTGTTGGAGAGAGAAGAAAAAAGAACTAGAGAGACTTTATAGTGGTATTGTATAGAATTATATACTTATCAAACTTTATTTAAGTACAAAATCTAAGAAAACCTGGTGTCTAAATGCAGGCCTCCACAATTAATTTATTTGACAAGCAGTAGCAGCTCTGCTGAATTAGAAAGCAAAACCAGACACCTGAAAACCAGGGAAGATGATCATCAACAATAGACAATACCATATGCCCCCTCCAAAAAAAGATGAATATGAACACAAAGTCTACAAAAAGTATACTTAGTTTAGGTTTTTGATGTTCCATAGCCATCATCTCTCTGTCCTTCTTGGTTTTGAGTTAAAAAACAAACAAAAAAACTGGTAGGGCTTTTAGCAATGTTTGTAGTAGCATACACAGAGACAGAGCTGAGTTTAGCCGTATGAGGTAACTAACTTAAATCTCCCCTTTTAAAGGCAACTACAGAGTAGGTTGAATTCTGTTCTGATGAATATTGCTGACTGGTCGAGGAGCTCTTTGACCCTGATGAAGAAAGATAAAAAAATAAAATACATTAGGAAAATCAAGTAAACATTTTTATTTTGAACTTTGCTTGGTATATTTAAGCTACTTTTTGCACAAATAATGTCAGGTTTATACAGTTGAAGGCTTTTTTTTTTCTTTTTTTTTTTAATAAATAGTGATCTTACAGATTGTTTTTTTTTTTTTATTGCTTTCAGCTGCACCAGCAACAAAATTTTTCCGTTTCATCTGAGTGTTTTCTATTGTTGTCTACATGAGAAAACTAAGTGACCTCCTGTTGAAACTTGTGGTTTCACTGTGTGGTTTTCAACCACACAAAAATTACACTCCTCGGTGTGTAAGATATGTGTCTGAGATGTTGGGCTGAAAATAACTGTGTGATTCTATGTCTAAAACTGAACTCATGTCACAGTCTGCACCAGATATCTGCTTAGCCAAATTAAATAAGACAGGCTGATACAAGTACCTGTCTTCTTTATCTGAACAGCAGCATACGTGACATCATCTGGTGTATTTCCAGAATCTCCTCCTGGCAGAGAAAATATACAGAAACTGAAAATGTCTGTTAAAGTTTTAAAAATAAAGAAAAGACACAAACACCTACCATTCTTCTTCCTGGGTTTGTTAACAGCAGCATAAGTTATTTTCTTTGTATCTGTGACAGTTTCATTTGTCAGGGCTGTGAGTGAAAAAGCCAATATAAGAAAAAAATGAAATTCACTACAAATCTCAAGGATTTGTTGTGGCAATTTTTAATATTTATTTAGTTTTTACTCTTTAAACTTTAAAGGATAGCTGTGCTGTTTAACAACTTATTGATTGAATTGAAATCTAAATAAATCTAGATCTGCAAAAGTTGAGAACAATTTGGGGTGTAATAGTGTTTGTTTCTATCACATTTAATATCTGTTTTATATTTTTTATTCTAAACCTATTCTATTCAATTATGGGTTTATCTTGAATTTGTTTTACAAAATAACAGGCAATGGTTTTACTGATTCACTGGGGAAGGTGGATTTGTGGTGTCAGCACGCAGAACTTTCCGAGGTGTACGATTTTTAAAGCAAAGATTATTTTTCGTCACATATAAAAATTAATGCAGTCGATGGAATGGAAACATAATGCATGCCATTTTGCCTTGTAATTCACTACGTAACTGAAGGATGAGGTAACGGCACCCTTCTTCAACATATAACAAATATTAGATATCCTTACTTTCACCTTAATTAGTCTAAAATAAATCAGACACTGAAATTTCACCTACAAAACATGCACTTCTGAAGCAGGTACTGTAGTTTCCATTGTAAAAAGGTTTCTGCCTTTGTACTTTTCCAGTTATAAGGAACCTTGAACCTATATGTCACCATTGAAAGAATAAGTGATCAAAACCTGTCAAGCAGTTTCTATAGGAATATAAGTGCAACTCCCCGGAAAATATGCTGGTGAAGATTCTGTCACCCAGGTCCTAGTCATTCCAAAAAAGTAAAAAAAACAATCTGCTGGATTTTGTTTCCTAGTTTGAAAACATTTCGGTTCCCATCCAGGAAGCTTTTTAAATTCAAAATGTCAGGAATAATTCGTCCGTTTCAAATTGCATGTTTTCTAAACAAAAAAAAGGTCTTGTTGGGCTACTCTACAAAGCCTCATGCTCAACGCTGTTCCTGACCTAAAACTGACATAAAAATGAAAAAAATAAATAAATAAATAAATAAATAAATAAATAAATATACACTCACTGGCCACTTTATTAGGTACCCCATGCTAGTAACGGGTTGGACCCCCTTTTGCCTTCAGAACTGCCTCAATTCTTCGTGGCATAGATTCAACAAGGTGCTGGAAGCATTCCTCAGGGAGTTTGGTCCATATTGACATGATGGCATCACACAGTTGCCGCAGATTTGTCGGCTGCACATCCATGATGAGAATCTCCCGTTCCACCACATCCCAAAGATGCTCTATTGGATTGAGATCTGGTGACTGTGGAGGCCATTTGAGTACAGTGAACTCATTGTCATGTTCAAGAAACCAGTCTGAGATGATTCCAGCTTTATGACATGGCGCATTATCCTGCTGAAAGTAGCCATCAGAAGTTGGGTACATTGTGGTCATAAAGGGATGGACATGGGCAGCAACAATACTCAGGTAGGCTGTGGTGTTGCAATGATGCTCAATTGGTACCAAGGGGCCCAAAGAGTGCCAAGAAAATATTCCCCACACCATGACATCACCACCACCAGCCTGAACCGTTGATACAAGGCAGGATGGATCCATGCTTTCATGTTGTAGACGCCAAATTCTGACCCTACCATCCGAATGTCGCAGCAGAAATCGAGACTCATCAGACCAGGCAACGTTTTTCCAACCTTCTATTGTCCAATTTCAATGAGCTTGTGCAAATTGTAGCCTCAGTTTCCTGTTCTTAGCTGAAAGGAGTGGCACCCGGTGTGGTCTTCTGCTGCTGTAGCCCATCTGCCTCAAAGTTCGACGTATTGTGCGTTCAGAGATGCTCTTCTGCCCTCCTTGGTTGTAACGGGTGGTTATTTGAGTCACTGTTGCCCTTCTATCAGCCCTTCTATCAGCTCGAACCAGTCTGGCCATTCTCCTCTGACCTCTGGCATCAACAAGGCATTTCCGCCCACAGAACTGCCGCTCACTGGATGTTTTTTCTTTTTCGGACCATTCTCTGTATGATTGTGCGTGAAAATCCAAGTAGATCAGCAGTTTCTGAAATACTCAGACCAGCCCTTCTGGCACCAACAATCATGCCACGTTCAAAGTCACTCAAATCACCTTTCTTCCCCATACTGATGCTCTGTTTGAACTGCAGGAGATTGTCTTGACCATGTCTACATGCCTTAATGCACTGAGTTGCCACCATGTGATTGGCTGCTTAGAAATTAAGTGTTAACGAGCAGTTGGACAGGTGTACCTAATAAAGTGGCCGGTGAGTGTATATATGCCGCCTAATTCTATTTATTTTGGTTTTGTTTATTTTTATTCAATCCAAAACACAGGTCTATAATATTCCATATAGAGTATGAGACATGTGCATTTTCAGTTGCACTATATATTATTTAAGAAAATTTGTTAACACACTTATTAACTTCATAAAAACTCCTTAGATAAACATTTTAAGACTGATTAAGACTGATCTTATAGAGAAAAAAGGGCGCTAAAAATACAGTTCCATGAACCTTCAGGTCATTTAGCTTTACCTTTGTGCTTTTTGCAGAGAATCAGTCCGATCACCAGAAACAGGAGTGATAAAAAGGTGACCAGTGATATGATGAATATAAGCGGCAGATCTGGTTTTGTCTCTTCATCCGATCCTGAAAGAAGGTTTAACATATAATGCAAGAGAACAATGAACACATTTTTTTACTTTGAGGCCAGTGTTAGTCCTCTTTGGGTCCTAAACAATTATTTATGCCTCAATTAACCAGAGAACTTTCTACATCTACTCCTTTCATTTTTTTTTTTTTTTGCAATTATCTCTACTTCTACTTCTTGTATTTTAAAAATAGACTTGTTAGTTTGGTTTCATTTAAGCTTATTATGGCCTGTTATTGAAAAAAAATCAACTAAAACCATCAAAATAATTTGTTTCCTTCCAACAATCAATTTGGTTGGACTTGGTGCTGCAGAAAGTTGTTATTCAACACATACTAAAATACATAGTTTTTCAAGATGATCCAAAGTTAAATCTAACACTGCTGCTATTTGTTAGAAATCTAAAAAAAATAAGTATAAGAAGTTTTCACCTAGAATGGTAGAAAAACGTCCCTTTAACAGTGTAGTGTAAAGTATCAGTCCTTAACAATTTTTCTGAATTGCTTTTATTTTTTATAAGTTTTAAATATCTTGCTTTTACACTTTAAGTAAAAAACTTAAGCTGATCCTCTAACTTCTACATTTTTTTTAAACAGTAGGATTTATACTTCTACTTGTTTTGCAAACAAATATCATTACCAATGTGTTAGACACGTGCATTTTATGCCAACTTTTAATCTTTAGTTACCAAAAAATATAGTTACAACTCTAAAAGGTGATGGCTATCAAGGTTAACTCTTCCCGTGGTGTTGAAGGGATTAAACTGCTAAAGGTGATTTTGGATATAGCAAATGAACCCTTAAATATTTTATGAGCAAAAAAGCCCCCTGAGTACACTGATGACCCTTGTGAGCAACGTCAGATGTCCAGCCTTAGGTCACAAAATGTGTTATAAACCAGAGATCATGGAAGATTACCCCTTATAAAGCTGGATTTAACTCCACAGCTTCGCTCGATGAAAATAAATAAGCTGGGTACTATAAAAATACCTCAAACATTTGGAATGTATTAAATGTTTACTAATTGTCAGTTCTGGTAAGATATTCACTTTTGTGTAGTTTTCACCTTAGCATAACTACGGTATTTACAATTACACCTAAAGGACAGGGAGAGGCTGTCCATTTTTTACAGAGCAGTTACCAATAGCCCCGAGTTTATATGTAACTGTAGTTACATATGTAGTAAAGATGATAGTATTCATGGGAGACTATTCCTAGGGAATTAAGCTGACATTAGTTTAAAATGTACTTAATTGTTGAAAAAGCAGAAACATACAAAACATGTAAAATACTATGCAAAACACTTAAGCAAATAAAAAAAGTGACATAATTATTACAGATAATGTTGTTGAAGGGATGTGGGGGAACCCCTTTTGGACTTTTAAACAGGCATGTCTGGATCAAAATTCATTCAATTTTACAGATAATATCAACAGATCTGAAGTTATGTTTGAAGTATTATTTCACCATCACAATATTTATTAGATCAGGTATCAAACATACCTTCCTCCTCTCCTGGTTTGACAATAGCCAGCCAGCTTTCAGGTGATTCTCCTGCACTAGATATTTTGCACTTGTAAAATCCTTCATCTGTCTTGGAGACCTTGGAGAGGGTCATACCCTCTTTATAGAAAGTTTCAATGTATTTGCCATCTTTGTAGAAATCACTTATGTGTGTCTTCTCTGTGTTCTTGTTTATACAATGAAGAGTCACATCAGATCCTTCCTTCACTGGTTGAGCTGGAACATCCAGGATCACTAAACCAGCTGTGGGAATTGAACGAAAAAAGTTTAAAGATATTATACTGCTGTTTCTGATGGTTTATATTCATCAAATATAAAATGTTTACACACCTCAAGTGCAAGACTTTTATCATCCAAAGAAAATAGGACCAAAGTAAATGTAGTGGACCCTAATATACCCGTTTTTGTTTTTCTCTCAATATGTTATCAGTGTATTTCTTTTGAAGGTTAAGTTATAGCTCACATTAATAGGCAAAAAATTCCACATATTATTGTTCCCATGCTTTGAATGTTACAACACCTTGCAAATTTAGATGTTGATAAATACAAAAACAGCATTATACTTTTTTAAAACATACAGACCTGTAACAGAAATACTGACAGCACGGCTCCTTTCTCCTTTATCATTTTCACACCAGTATTCTCCACTGTGTCTTTTGAAAGTATGTTGAATTGTACAGGATGGAACTGGGGTGCTGCAGTCTTGAGAAATATTTGCTTGACTTATTTTATGAAGTTTTCTCATCACTCTCCATGCATTAACGTCTTCTTCTCTACCACAATTTACAGAGACTTTCTCATATTCAAAGAACTGAAGTCTGTCTGGAGAAACGACAGGGAAATCTGTAATGATAAAAAATTTAAACAAATAATGAAATCAAATGTATATTTTGAATTGTTAATTTTAGCCTTATTGAAAAAAACTGCTAATTTAGCTGAATTTACTCTCAGTTTTCAAAAATCAGATCTAATTCAAAAAGACATGTAAATAATGTAAGGAAAATAAATTACTTAAACAAAATACTTTCCAACTTACCAGGTGTCTGAACAGTGTAACTCGATGCAGGCTGGGTCACAAGCAAGACTAAAATAGTATTTACTGCAGAGACATGAGAAAAGCTTGATATCCAAACTCATTCAGGACAAACAAGGCAAAAAAGAAAAGAAAGTTACTGTACTCACAGATTTGGACCCAAAGATGTGTGACCTCCATTACTGATGCTTAAAGCTCAGTGACTAGTGTCTCATATTTTCACTTAGGTTATATGCAGCTCAGAACCTCCTCTTCCTGTTTGGACTATTATTCAATTTGGCAAAACAACAGAAATTATATAGCATTTCTTAAAATATTGGTGTGACGTCTTCTTTTGTAGAAATAAGTGCATTTAAACAACCCTCATACTCAAGCTCTTATCATTTCACACAACTTTCACACAGCTGTTAAATATTAACAGAACTAATCATCAGCTATTTACCTTTCAACACTCCACTTGGTCCTCGAGGCCAGCTGTCCTGCAGGTTTTAGAGGTTTCCCTGCTTTAGCACAGCTGATTATGATTGCAGTAGACCAAAAGCCTGTTAATCAGCTTTCAATTAAAATAAGTTGTGCTGGAGCAAAGAAAACCTTCAAAAGCTGCAGGACAGCGGGCCTCGAGGACCGAAGTTGGGGATGCCTGCTCTATAGTATTCTCCATGCAACTTCAGTCTTTATCCAGTCTTATTTTCATGAAGGGTGTATTTTCTCTACCGTACAATCAATTTTTGGAAAAGCAATTCTCACACTTGTGCTGATGAGGAACTATCTGGACAAACTGCAATTCCCCTGCATCAGTAAGGTTACATAAAAACCGTTTCAGTAGTTTAACACCTCCCTTACAGTAACCAGCGGCTTCCCTTCAGGATTCTATGCTCATCACAGTACAGAGATTGTTTATTCAAAAATTTAAATGACATCCATAAGAATTTAGACTGGGAAAAATATATTTTTATATATATTAAAGATCTGTTGGTATAATTGCCTCCTATTGTTTTCTGTGGCATCTTATGCTTGTACTTTTTAGCTTCCTGTTTTTAATGTTTTTATCTGCCTGTACACTGTCCTTGGGTGTTGTGATAAGGCGCTTTCAAATAAAATGTATTATTATTATTATTATTATTATTATTATTATTATTATTGAAAGACAAAAACATTTTGAAATTTCAGTCTTTGAATTGTTAATGTTTTAACTTTTAGTGTTTGACTTTTAAATATTAGAATTTTCAATGTTTGTCTTTTAAGTGTCTAAATTTTTAATTGCATTCTATGTCAATTCAAGCTGTCACTAATTTAGCTCCATACTAATCCCTCCTTAAATTTGCAGCACTACACAGACTTTTTTTAACAGGTTTTTAAAGAAGTGGATTGCATCTCCAAACTCCACTACTGCTGCTAGTTTGGTTCCAAAGATGGAAAACCGTCCTCAGATCAAACAGGTAGCGCTCTGATGCAGGTATGTGAACTTTCTTCCATTTTCTCCCCCAAATACTAAAAATTTAAATCACACCAAGAAACGCTGGTGACAGAGGATGTGGGATTTCAGGGCTAGAGAGCACAGCTCTGATGGATGGTCAGTTACTGCTTGGTTCCTCATGACTCAATCAACTCCTCCCAGCAGAAACCTGTCCACCATAGAGAGATTCCTTTATCGTTTTTCTATAATTTCATCAATGCAACACTACCTAAATCGCACGGTCAAGCAGCGCATGGTAAATTCCACGCAGTGAGGGCGTTCACTGCTCCTCCCTCGACCTCATTCTGCTATATTACATTTGCTCCAGGATAAACATTTAATAGTGAATGCTTATTATATATTTAAGCCCACATAGTCCTTTTCTATAGTGTATAGTGAATAATACACTTAGGGCCGGATTTATCAAGATCCAATTTTGCGTGCAGTAATTTGCGCTCGCAAACTGGAATTTTGCGCGAGGGGCTGAACCATGGTTTGCGGGTGATTTAACAAGAGCGATTGCGTAACTGGTGGCAGGTGCAAAACTGTTGGAGACGCCCTATTTAAATGATGGTTTTGCGCGTTTTGTGGTTTGCGGCATGGCGAGTTTGTACAGCAGAAAGCGCAAAAGGAAATTCGACCCCATGGAAATGGAGGTGTTGGTGGATGAAGCCAACAAACATTTAAGTGAGCTACAGCAAAGAAGTGTGACTGTCACACAGAGGAACGCTATATGTGAACAAATCTGTAATAAAGTAAACGCTGTCGGTGAAACCTTGCGAACAGTGGATGAAGTAAAAAGAAGATACCAGGATATTAGAAGGCGAACTAAAGAAAAACTGGCATATAACAAAACATCTGCGAACAAAACAGGAGGGGGCACAGTAGATAAGATGCCTCTGACCAGCATTGAGGAACAAGTACAGCTGACGCTCTGTGAGGAGCAAATCACTGGAATTGCAGCTTCAAAATGGCAATGATGGATAAACGATATGTTTTGATGATCGTTTCCTCCTTCATTCCAAGAATATTCACACGGAGTGAAAAAATGCGTTCTCTGCGTCTCCTTGCTTCATTTCGATGTCTCCTTCTTGCGACAATAACCGCTGCCATGTGTGCGCAATTACGCATAAAGACCATTTGCACCTTCTTTTGAAAAGTGTTAAATATAGTCAGATACCGTTAGCAAAATTGCTTTCAGGTTTAATAAATCACTTTGCGAGTGCTAAATTAATATATTTACATGTTCTCCTCCCACAAGACGCACTTTTGCGTGTAAACGCCCCATATTGCATATTCATTGCAGAAAAAGTACTAAATGGATAAGAGGCGCTATTTTAAAGACCAAATCCTTTTAGCACACTGTTGATAGATCAGTTTGAACATTTTTTAGCGTGCGCAGTGAAATAGCTCACGTTTTTATACACGCAAACCTTTGATAGATCCGGCCCTCGGAGCCCATGTTGCCATACAAGGTTTATACTGTAGAAGACTTTTACATTTTTGCGGCTCCAGACAGATTTACTTTTTGTTTTTTGGGTCCAATATGGCTCTTTGAGCAGTTTGGGTTGCCAACACCTGGTATAGTTAGACATCACAAGCTGAGACCTCACAATCAAAGTTAGATACCACCTTTCTCATAAAATTGGAAAGATGGACCCAGTATTCAATTGAGACAGACAGTGGGAAGTTTCAAAACATTTAATGACAAAAATGAAATAAAACAGAGACAGAACTGAACGTGGGCTGCTGCAGATCAGCAGACTTGCAACTACTCCGGGGGAAGGTGGAGCATCGCCCATCACTGGCACTCTGGCTGTGGGAGAAAGACAGGTAAGTGACCACAATAATCTGTCAGAAGATGATTATCCATGTGAGTCACTTATCTTATATAACAGTTCAGTTGATCCTCTCATCAAAGGCAGGATTCAGCTGATGAAATGCCAATGAGATGCAGCTCTGAGCTATTTGGAGGGTCCCTAAGGTAGCAACCCCAGTGAGAATGCAGGAGAAAGATGACGTCAGGGAATAAGTTCAGAATAGGACCATACTCACATCCAGGAGTTTGTGATGGGTTGTAGTTTTATTTTATTTTATTTTCATACACTCTTTCCTGTCTCTATCTTGGTTCTTTCTTTTTCACCTGCCTTTCCGTCTCTGTGTCCATTGTATGTCATTTTACTCTCTAGAATAAAGAATCAATAATGTTTTTATATACAAGTATAAATTTATTTCAATTGAATTCAGTTTATTTATGTAGCGCCAATTCAAAACACATTTCATCTTAAGGCACTTTACATTTCACCAGATCATCCAGTCAAATTGATTCAAAGTTTTCTATCTAAGGAAAACCAATTGATTGCATCGACTCATTGACTCAAAGGCAATCCCCCACACTAAGCATGCCTGTAGCGACAACTGAGAGCAAAAACTCCCTTTTAACAGGAAGAAACCTCCAGCAGAACCAGGCTGAGTGTAAACGGCCATCTGCTGAGGCCAGCTGGGGTTCAAGGAGACAGAAGCAGAGATATAAGCGGCGGCCCGGTCCAGGAAACACACAGCCAGGCAAACAAGCTCCGAGGCAGCTCCCATGCCAGAGGATGAAGAGAGGACATCTAGCCAGTCACAGTCAGAGAAACAGGACCACACTGGAAAACAGGCCGATCTCCAACATCTATAAACAAGGGTGTTGATGGAAGCAGCACAGCTGATGTTTCTTTCCAGGATGACGTCACAGCCAAACAGGAACAGACGAGGCAAAGCTACTCTGAGGAAAAGCAGAGAGAGCAGAAGTTTAGAGATTGAACAAACAGATTCTGCAGAATAGGAGAATAGAGATAGAATGAAGCAGAATGATGAAATGGGGGTCCCTATGTCCTCCAGAAGTCTAAGCCTATAGAAGCATAACTATAGAGATAGCTCAATAACCTGAGCCACTCTAACTATAAGCTTTATCAAAAAGGAAAGTTTTAAGCCTAGCCTTAAAAGTAGACAGGGTGTCTGCCTCACGGACTAAAACTTGTAGTTAGTTCCACAGGAGAGGAGCCTGATGACTAAAAGATCTGCCTCCCATTCTATTTTTAGAAATTCTAGGAACCACTAGTAAACCTGCAGATTGAGAGCGAAGTGCTCTGTTAGGAACATAAGGAACAATCAGATCTCTGATATAAGATGGAGCTTGGCCATTTAAGGCTTTAGATGTGAGAAGGAGGATTTTTAATTCTATTCTGGATTTAACAGGAAGCCAATGAAGAGAAGCCAGGATAGGCGAGATGTGATCTCTCTTTTTAATTTTCATTAGAACTCTGGCTGCAGCATTTTGGATCAGCTGAAGGCTTTTAACTAAGGTTTGTGGACTTCCTGATGGTAAAGATTTGCAATAGTCCAACCTTGAAGTAACAAATACAAGGACTAGTTTCTCAGCATCAACCCTGGATAGGATGTTTATATTTTTTGCAATGTTCCTCAGATGCAAGAAAGAAATTCTAGAAACCTCTTTGATATGGGATTTAAATGACAGGTCCTGATCAAAAACCACACCAAGATTTTTTACTTTATTATCTGAAATCAGTTTATTCCCATCCAAATGAATTGACTGACTAATCAGCTTATTTTTCAAAGACTCTGGTCCAAAAGACTATAACTTCTGTTTTGTCTGCATTTACAAGGAGAAAGTTATGAGTCATCAAGGTTTTTATGTCTTCAACACATGCCTGTAATCTATGTAATGGGTTAGCTTCATCTGGATTTATAGACCGATATAGCTGGGTATCATCAGCATAACAGTGAAAACTAATCCCATGCTGTCTAATAACTCTACCGACTGGGAGCATATATAAAGAGAATTGGTCCTAGCACTGAT